CGGACTGTCTGCATCGAAGAGAGAAAGAGAGAGAGAGAGAGAGAGAGAGAGAGAGAGAGAGAGAGAGAGAGAAAGAGAGAGAGAGAGAGAGTCTGAATGACAAAATTGGAATATGGGTCATATTGTTGTTGCGATAGTTGGAGCATTTTTTCCTTAGCCCACACCTGACTGAGTGGCAAAAATGAAAACAATTTTTGAAATTGCTTGTTTTTTCTGTGAATCTTTTTTAGTAGCACTTGTATCAATAAAACTAGCAAAGGATTCGAAGGTCACTGCAGCAAGAAATGAACTATAAACAAAGTTAAAGACTATTACCTACAAGATTTCCATGTATTTTTGTATGCTATAAAACTTTCTCCCTCTTTTTATATTTTTTTCTCTTTTTCGCTCACATCGCACACACACATACACACACAGACACATATATATTTACACCTACATACATACACACACATACATACACACATACATAGACACATACACTCGTGCACAGACGCAGAACTCAAGAAAATATTACTCGTTTGTTATAGTAGGTCTTAATCATTGTTTAAATTGTTTTCCCCTTGAGATGTAACTATAGTGATGAAGTTATTTTTTTCTTGTTTTTGTTGTTGTTGTTGTTGATGATGTTTATACTGGTGGTGGTCGTATTAATGGTGGTTCTGGAGTTTCTTGTAGAGGTGCTTGATATACGAGATGTGATGTGTTAGTTGCTATTACTAGTGGCGGTGCTAGATGATTGTATTTTGTATTAAATGTTGGCATTTTTTTATTAAAAAAATCATTGTAATTGTGACATGTTGTTCTTTTTAAATATATATATTTTTTAATCAGTGGCAGTTGATGGTTTTCTTTAACGTGCCAGATTGTTGTTTTTCTAAGGTATTTGAATATCATTTTTATAGCATTGTCAATGTTTTTTGCTAATACATCATTATGTTGTCGAGTGTTGATGTGTTAAATAAATCTTTTCTGCTAAATAGACATCTAAAATATTATCTTATTGTGTTGTTATTCGTTTTTCTGTGTACATAACAATGCCTTTTTCTCCAATAGATAGATCGGTCTTTGATCCCGTCGCACGTATGTCTATCATCCAGTCTCTGCAATTGTCAACTGTTCTCAGGGTTATTTTTGACATATCTCGAACTTGCTGTATGTCTTTGTCGATTTGATCGCATTTCCTTTTTAGTGTTTCAGTATTACACCTGCAAAACAAAGAATACATGTAATGAATATGAGTATGGAATAAAAAACATGATATTTATATTTGTTGTACCTTACATCATAGAGCACTTATAAAAAATAATTTAGTTTTTTTTTTCTTTTTTAGTATATGAAATATTATTTTGCGGGGGTCGAGCGCCTAAGAGTTCGGACCTCGAATGTGACCTTGAAAATCCGTACGAACGAAGGTTGGATTAAAGACCTTCGTATGTACGGGCTAGTGACTTCGATTGTTTGTATTTTGATTGATATAATTTATTATAAAATGTGTCTTTAATAAAAATAGTGATAAATATTTAAAATGTATTGGTATTATTGTGTTGGTTGTCTTGACTTTCCGTCTCTTTTTTTCCACACTCCATAATGTTGTACAAATAAAATAGACAAAAGACAATAAAAAATATGTTAGTCTTTTTCGTATTTAAAAAAATAATAAAGTATAATATAATATGTTATGTATACGTGTT